GTTTTTATTCGCTCATTGGATGCCTGACATCTTATTAGCCAACTCTTCAATCTCGACTTGGCCCCAAAAGCTGGCAATATCTTAAGTTTACACGAAGTTTAATCATATTTAAGCTCAGGTATCTCAATTCTTTTGGGCATGGATATGTGAAATATGCAAAATAATTGCTGATATACATACTGACATGTTAACATACGTACCGTATAGTATATATGGATTTTCCCCTGTTGATCAGCTACGCGATATGTAATGAATTAGAGTTATTTCAAGACAATCTCCTCTCAATTATGCTTCTGAACTCCAAATGAAAGGGATAAAAAAGAATTGAATAACGCAAATGGCGTGGGGCCTCAAACTCTGTGAACCACGAAACGCGAGGATGCTTGCAATTAAGTCGGCTGCCCGTCCCCGCCCTGACTTGTCAAATCGTCCGACCCGCTCTTGAGCATGCTGACTTGCTTAATTACACGACTTGAGGGTGAGTATCTACTTGTGAAGATCATTTTCAGCTTATCTGATGAGGGACTTTGGAAGTCATGGCGCTCTTTCTTCACCTTCAACGTTTTGTGACCCAAGTCGTTCCCGAGTCTCAATGAATAAATCACTTTGGTAATCAAGCATCCCCTCACAATGTCTATGAAAGATCAGTTTGTACTGAATTGGATGAACCAACTCTAGCTAACATGTCCCAGATAACAAAAAGTGTGAACAAACTCAATAAGGTCAACATGTTATCGTATAATGTTTAAAATGGTCGCAACTTCCAGTCACTCACCCAAAGATCATTATTTCATTATTTATTGTACTATGATTTATGTTGTCAATTATGAAGTGCGAGCTCGGACATTGTGCTATGCCCAAGCTATTAATGTTAAAGAAAGATACGGTTCACTGGTGGATCCGCACGTCCAAGCTATTAGTGCTATGTTAGGTTTGCACAATGGGCCACAGGCACTGAATTATAAAATTCTGCGGTAAAGACAAAACAATGCGATGGTGATGCGAAGGAGTCCCTTTCTTTAGACGAAGGGAAAGATGAGAGAGTCTTGATCTCTCGACACTTGGGGGAGGCACTAAATGAGAGAGTTCGGGCGTTGCAAAGAAGATGATGGAGAAAGCGAAGGTGGGGAGGGTATCGTACTGATCCTAACTTTTTCCAAGCCGCGCAGATGCAATTATCAACAAGAGGCAAGTGGCACGTGATAGTGTTAGCTAAGCTCAGCTGCCAACGACCCTCCATTAATGGAGGTCATGCTGTTACGAGAGAGAAAGACGAGCGCAGCTGTCTCGTCCACAAGCGAGCGAAGTTGAGAGAGGTGACGTTCATATCATAAAGGACGAAACCCTAAGTCATACGAAACCCTCAGTCATACAAAACCCTAAACTCTCTGTCACCCTAATTCATACAAAACCCTAAACTCTCTCTCTGTCTCTCTCTCTCTCTCTCTCTCTCACAGATGCATGCACGTGCGTGCCCACATACAATACGAAGTGGCGGCCAAGAAATTGCGTGTGCACATCTGAAAAGCACCAAGTTAATGGTCCAACAGATCTATGCTTTTCGTTTTCCCGACAAAAATAATCATTAATGCCGACCATCATCTGAAAAGCACCATCTGGGATTAGGATCATATGTCAAAAGCTGTTGGACCATTTCAGTTCCGCGGTAAGCGAGCAATAAATTTTCATCGTGATCTGTTCACCTGTGTTCGTTATTGATGAAGAGGCCAACAGTAGTTGGGTGAGTTTCGGTCGATTGAATAGCGATGAAGCAGTATCTTTCATCGGATCAGCATCTTCCACGTTCACCAAAGAGAGAACGTTTTACTTCGTGAACTTCTAACTTCACTTTTCATGTCAAATGCCCCTCTTATGTTTCGAAACTACAATTATCAACCTCCCATTTAACAATGGATATCAAGTTGCATGTCTCACCTATACATTATTTATTGAATTACATTTTATTTCCCAAACTACCCACACCCCTAAAAAACCGAACACGCACAACGTACTCTCTAGAATAATTACAAAAAAAGTCATAAACCTATTGTACAGATGCTGATTCAGTCCTAAATTTTTCAATTAGCTAATTTAGTCCTATACATTTTGACGAATTGCTAATAAAGTCATTCCGGCCATATATGGCCAGAAATTAATAACGTGGCGGTCCAATCAATGCCGATCATTCTACATAACATGGGCGAAGATGTCGTGAACAATTTTTGCATTTTTTTTAAAAAATTCTGAATTTTCTCTTTTTCTTACTCTTTTCTTTTTTCTCTCTCTGTTTTTTTTCCCTATTTCCATTCGCCGGTCGCCAAACATCGGCAAAGGTTAGTGGCCACAGGTGATGGTTGCCCTCACTGGATTTGGCGAGCGCCGACCTTGCAAAATCTAGCAAGGGTGTCTCGGCCCCGATGACCGGTAGAGAGAAATAGAAAAAAAAAAGGAAAGAAAGCAAAGAAAAATTATAAAAAATTGTTCACATCAGGACCAGTCATACCACATAAAACAAATTGGTTCCACATTAGCGATTTCTAGCCAAAATTAGCCGAAATGATTATATTGGCAAATCGTCAAAAGGTTTAGGGCTGAATTGACCATAATTGTGCGAGCGGCTTCTTCAGGCTAAACCACTTGTCTCCCTTTCTCGATCACGTGCGCCACCGTTACTGCTTTGGAGGCCGTCGCCAACCTTCGATCTAAGCCCAATGGCGGTCCCCATGCCTACACGAGATTAGATTGATGTTGAACAACCTCAACCTGGTAGCCATGGCCGAACTCTACTACAAAGCTTGCGCGACTCATGAGCCTATTGCAGAGGCTCGACGCAGGCCGCGGCCCTCGTCGAGGCTGACCTCACAAAACCTCGACGGTTGCGAGCAGCGGGCTCAAGCCGAGTTCGCATAGCCTTGCTATCACTAGTGGTGAGATCGATCGTCTATACTACTGGGTGTAAGGAGAGAAAGTGGGAGAGAGTTTTGGGCGAGCATGACGGCAAATGGGTCTCCTTAGGTTTGGGAGATGAGAAATGTAGGTTTTGAAACGTGAAATGGGTATTAGATGTGGAGAGCAAAGTTGTCGAAATATTTAAGTATCAAATCAGATGTTCATCTATTAACTTAAGGGTGTGTCTATAAAAACTCTACTTTTTACTTTTTGGTTAATGTAGCTCTTGATGCACTTTGATTTTTTCCTAATCCCATACACTTGAAACTCTCACAATATATATTATTGCTACACAAAGAATTCACATACAATATTTCACATTTTCTTTAAATTTAGATCATATTTAAAATTTTGGCGAGAAAACAAAAAAATTGATTCTTGCTTTTTAAAAAGCTTAAACAAACAGACTTTAAACTTTTAGAATAAATGGTAGCGGTCTTACAGAATTTTAAATGGTATTATAATTAACTTGGTCCTAAGTTTAAATCTTTCCAAGCCCTTAAGTACATCCATCGATAAATTTCCATGGTTTAGTTTTAGGCCAAAATCTTGTCTATGCGTGAGGCAGAGTGTTAAAATATTTAAATAGGTCTTATTATCAAGTGTCCTCGGACATTTGTTAAATAAACTTCACTTGAAATAGTTCAATTTTCAAGTATAGACTGTACATAACACAAGTGAATCAGTGCATTGAAAACTATAAAGATTCTTTCATCCGTTGCTTAACACGTGCCTGTGGAACACTCTTTAACAAAATCCATTTAAATGTTTTACCTCGCCAAACTTTCACATATGTTTTAGTAGTCCAATGATGCCTTAATTTTTACCTGTACCTTACTAAATCCACCTCTCCAATCGGGTTAAAGACACACTATTCATGATAGCACACACTTTAACATTTTCTAATGGTTACATACTAGTGACCTTTTGAAATGGTCTTACATAGAGTTACATATGATTCATTCATAATCTTTTTTTTTTAAAGTTGGGATAATATTTTGAATATTGATGGAAAAGTAAAACAAGAATTGCTTTTGACTTTTCAGAAGTCTAGACATACTAACTCTGACATGATGTTTGGATGAAGTGAATTAGGGAGAAAGAGGGAATCTTCTTAGGGCGCACATGAAATCCATTCTGGAGTAGAAATTCTGCTCCAGAATGCATTTCGGAACAGAAATGCGTTTGTTAAAAAATTTCCGAAATGCATTCTGGAGCAATTTTTGCATTCTGGAATAAAAATGTATTTGTTAAAAATACTTGATTGCAGAATGCATTCTTGATTCCAGAATGCATTTTTGATTCCAGAATGAGTTTTGGACAAGAAAAAGAGAAGTTACTTTTTGTAACTTCTCTCAGAATGCATTCTCCCTATTTTCTCTCTTTTTCTCACTAATTTTCTTTTTCAGAAAATGCATAAAAATTGAAAAATTCTAGAAAAATTCATAAAAATTTCCAGAAAATAAAAAAAGTCAGATTTCGGGAAAATAGGAAATTTGGTGAATTTTAAAAAAAAATATAAAAAATCAAAAATTTCAAAACTTCACAGAATGGCTTAGAATACCTTTGGGCACCCACTTTGAGTGAAATTTAATTTTTTTGAGGTGCGCAAAATAATCAAAAAATCAAAAATTTCAAAAATTCACAAAATGGCTTAGAATACCTTTGGCACCCACTTTGAATGAAATTTATTTTTTTGAGATGCCCAAAAATCAAAAATCAAAAATTTCAAAACTTCACAAATGCTAGAATACCTTTGGACCCACTTTGAGTGAAATTTATTTTTTTGAGGTGCCCAAAAAATCAAAAAATAAAAATAGATTTCCCAAATCAATTTCTGAGCAGAATTAGTCATGTTTTATCAAACGATTTCTCCTCCAAAATCAATTTCTGACAGAGAATTTGAAATCAATTTCGACAAGAATTTGATTTCTGAAGCAAAATGATTACCATTCGCGCCGTTAACGGCCGGAGAAAAGAAAAGAATTTATTCTATATCAAATGGGAGTGGTTAGAGGGAGAAACAAATTAAAAGAAACCTCTTATCACTTCAAATCATCGTCTCTCCTGAGTGGAGTGCAATAAAAGTTAGCTGCAAGAAGAGGGACTTAAAGGGATTGGAGGAAAGATCTTTTAATTTGTCGTTTCTTTGTCATCCGCTATAAACCCAACAAAGGTGACCGTCCAATCGTCTCTTCAATTTCCCTTCTCTCCACATCTCTTTAACCCATATATATAGACGAAGTCCTAAGCACAACCTTCCTACAAAGCAAGCAAACTAAACGCCTCTCTCTCTCTCTCTCTCTCTCTCTCTCTCTCTCTCCGCACAAAAAATGGTTGCATCGGACGTGAAGAGCCCCGTGCACAGCGTGAAGCTGTCGTCTATGGTGCCGGCTAAGGTGACGGGTAACAACACGGTGCACGAGCTGGCGAGCATGGACCTGGCAATGAAGCTCCACTACCTAAGGGGACTCTACTTCTTCAGGAGCGATGCCGTCCAGGGGCTCACCATCTCGGACCTCAAGAAGCCCATGAGCCAGTGGCTGGAGCTCTACCCCGCCACGTCCGGCAGGATCAGGCGGTCCGAGAGTGAGAAGCCTGTCGTCAAGTGCAACGACAGCGGGGTCCGCATCGTCGAGGCCCGGTGCGACAAGTCGCTCGATGAGTGGTTGGCAGCAACCAAGGAGGAGGAGGATGGTGGCTGGGAGCTCCAGGACTTGCTCGTCCATTCTCAGATTCTTGGCCCTGATCTTGGTTTCTCTCCCTTGATTTATGTTCAGGTAATTCAGTTACTATTTTCCAGTCTTTAAGTTTAAAACTGTAAATATCTTATGTTGATGATTGATCCCGTAGATTGAATTTGTGCAAGAAAATCTCCACTTCACACCCTGGAACATGTCAATCTAGCGCACCAATCATTACTTTCACCTGAAACATATTATTTGTGTGCTTAGGCCCCATCTTTGTTGAATTAATGTAGTGCTGTATTACCTTAATCTAAATTGGTCAGTCATTCGCACCAGACACTTAGGGTGTGTTTGGTGACCATTCTATTTCCGAAAATAATTTCTGCTCAGAAATGATTTTTTTTTATTTTGTTCCCGAAAATAATTTCTAAGCATTTGTAGCCGTTTGGTAACAGCTCAAAATTTTCATTCTTGAAATAAAAAAAAAAACAGAAATACGTTTGATAACCGCACAAATTTTTTTTTATTAATAATATTTCTTTCTTTTTTCTTCTTCTCCTTCTTAGTTGTGGCCGGGTCGCTGGCCATGGCCAGTTGGCTGGCGACCGGCTACAAGCTAGGGCCGGCGAGGGCATCGGGGCCCTCGCCGATGAGGGCAAGGGCTGGACCCTCGCCGCCGCCCTCGTTGGCCTTTTCTGGCCCTCGTCGGGGAGGGCGAGGGCCGCCATTGAGGCTCGAGGCCTGGGCAAGGGCCGCCAGATCCGGGGAGGGTTGGAAAAGGCCGGCGAGGGTGGCCCTCGCCTAGGCCGTGAGGGTCCAGTCCTTGCAGGCCACAGGCCTGGAAAGAAGAAGAACCAGCCACAGCCAAGAAAGAAGAAGAACCAACCACAGCTAGGAAGGAAAGAAGACAAAGAAAAAAAAATTTCTCATCTATTTCTGATTTTTATTCTCAGAATTAAGAAATAACTTTTTTTTACATTTTGATTCTGTTTCAAAACTGATTGTAGGAACAAATTTATGCTCAAGAACAAAAAATTTACCAAACGAATTTTTATTCTTTTTTTATTTTCGAAAATAAAAAAATAAAATTCGTCATTATTTAGCAAGTTATCAAACGAACCCTTATCTTTCCAGTTTTCTGACAGTTAAATAGTTTCATGGACCAAGAGATAAGAGTTTCTGCTGAACTCTGATGTACTTAGGTTCTTTAGCAGTTATGACCTTGTACTGTCTATTAACGCAACCCTACCTTTTGCGTCAATGCCGCCATGCATAGTATTCGATCATCATAGTACTTCCATGGGAATTAAGTCTACTTATATAATTTGATATATTGATTAATCGACATAACCATGAATTAGATCAAAAGGGGTTAAAGGAAAAATACAGTTGCCAAGAGAAATGGCAAAGAAAGGGGGACTTAGCTGATAATTTCCTTTTTGTTGAGTTCTTGTTTTTCATTTATCATCAATAATCAGCAACTATTTTTTCATTAAAACGGCATGGAACGGCATGTCTGACCAAATCAAAGTTATGGAAGCGATCACAAAAGTAGTTGCTATGGAGGCCTTAAATGTGGGTGGATGGTCCTGCTTCTTGCTATTGGGAAAGCAGCATCAAAAGAACGGTTTCTCATTTATGACCCCTTTCGAAAGTGTTGTTACCTAAAGAACGGCTGGCCCAAATATGAACATCCCAAAAAACAGAAGAAAAAAGAAGAAAGAAGAAGCTTAAACCAAAAGGGTAATGGGTACCCAGCAGGCCAGCACCAATTCATTGCTCTTTGTACTTCTGTAGGAAATAGAAACTGTTTTCAACATCTTAGAGAAAGGGAACATGGTACCTCCTAACCAAGGTGGTGTGCTTGGTTCTTGTCGACGAGTGCTCTCGAGCATTCATTTGGACAGATGCTGTAAGAAATACTACGATTTTCGTTAGCTAAATCTTATTAGTTGTTCGATAAGAAATGCGCCCTATTCGGTGTTGCATTGCAAACTTCCCATGAAGAAGAGGAAAATTCCTCTTCGTCGTACTTATGGACCATTTCCGTTTTATTATTGATTCGGATGAAGGATTGTTTACTTGCTTCTGTTTTATTTGTTCAAATAGAAGAGGGAAAGAAGGGAGAGGAAAAGAAGGTTCTTGTTTTATCAATCGGAACAGATATCTTTTCTTTTGCTTGTTCAGAAACTTTAGAAATGGGCCGTAGATGTAACAGATCTTAAGAGTGATATGTTGTTGTTTTGGAGTCACAGTTCACTTGGTTCGAATGCGGAGGAATCTGTGTGGGTCTAAGCTGGGCTCATGTCCTTGGAGATGCATTCTCGGCTTCGTCCTTCATCAACATGTGGGGCCAGATCATGGCGGGTCGCGCGCCGCCCAAGTCCCTCCGCGCGCCAATTCCCAAACGGTCCGCATTCCCCGACACGGCGCCATCGACCGTTAAAAGGGTCGACCCGGTTGGGGACAGTTGGTTAGTCGTCAATGACTGTCAGTTGGAAACGTACTCTGTTCACCTCACCCCGCAACAACTTGATGACATCACGAGTAGATGCCGCTCGTATGGCGAATCTAAAGTCTCGCATTTTGAACTACTGTCCGCGTCGATTTGGAAATCCTTGTTGAAAATAAGGGGAGACGGGGGGCCAAAGGTTGTAACCATATGTGCGAATAATGTCCATAGAGAGGTGAATCGATTACCCTCAAATAGCATGGATTTGAGGAGGGCCGAAGTGAATTCCTCCGCGGCGGAAGCGGAAGTGTCCGATCTCGCGAGGCTGATTACCGAGGCGGCGGATGAGAACGGCTTGATTGAAGAGATGGTGGGGAAAGATGATGGTAAGCTGGACTTCGTTGCATATGGGGCAAATTTGACGTTTGTGAATTTGGAGGGTGCAGATGTATATGGGCTAGAGTTGAAGGGCCAGAAGCCAATTTTTGCAGATTACAGGATAAGTGGGGTTGGAGATGAAGGGGTGGTGTTGGTCCTTCCAGGACCAGAAAATGGGGACGAAAAGGGTGGTGGTGGGTTTGGAAGGACAGTGACGATGGTCCTGCCCAAGGCTCAAATGGCGCAGTTCAAGAAGATGATAAATGAAACATGGGGAATTTCGCCCTAATGACGGGGGTGACGGCTTCTGAAACGATCCAAAGACTCGTTCTGCTGGTGACAATAAAACACAAAATCGATTATTAGCGCATAAATATACGTATCGATTTGTGTTCTAGATGTGAATTGTAATGTTGCGTGTTTTGTTAAATTGAACATTGTAATTGCATCAAGGCGGTTTGGAGGAAATTTATGTTGAAAAGTTAACATTTTATTCATGATGTCCTTTGGAAAGCGATCTTAGGGAAAATACACATATTACTAGACTTTCACACATTGGAAATATATCAAATCATGTGTGGCTCTAAGAAAATTTTGAGTCCATCACTTGATTAGCTAGCTTTCAGGGTGAGCTCTCCTAGGAATTTATTGTTTGTACGATATGATTTATATATAACCTAAGTGGACATGGTAACTGGTAAGTAGATTTATTTTTATAAACCAAGAAAATTTTTAGGCTCTTTTTCTCGGAATGCTAGTTTTTAGTATCGCGTAAAATTCCAATTTGCGACCTAAGGAATTGGGAAAATCTCAAGAATTTCAATGAGAAAGATTTCAATTATATGAAAACCAAGTAGAAATGAAGAAAAGATGGAGAAGAGAAAACAAGAACGGACAAAAGATGCTTTTACTAGCGCTTCTTCTTCACCTATCATCTTTTTTCCAATGTTTCTAAGCTCGACAGGAATATTAATGAAGTAAGAAGATGGCTATTTGATCGCTATTTCTGACGAGCACAATGCTACAATCAGAACGGAAAGAAATCCAGAGTTTAATCATCCAACGTGTCCGAGGTATCGTACACCAGCGAGCCAATCAAATCGTTAGCAACAAAATCTTCGGCGAGCGAGAGTTAGGTGAACGTAATCTCAGGTTCCCAACCATCGTTGCTTTACAAAACATAAAACAGAATACACAAGAAAGTCTATACCCTTCCCGAATCGACGAGGATGACCGGATGGTGATGCAGTCTATTTCCTTCGACGAGGATCACCGCATGGTGATGCACTGTGTGAGGGAGCTATTGGTAAATTATCAATCACCAATGGGAGAAAAATGACTCAAGATGCATGATTCTCCTTCTCATCCGACTTTCTTGCCTGCGGAACCGAAACCTCTGGAGCTGCTGCACCAGCCTCCTTGCTGGGAATTGTCTCATCACTCCGATCAGCATTCCTTTCTCTTAGCACATGACCGCCGCTTGGAGCCGGCGTTCGCATAGCCCTAGGTAACTTCAAAGGGATGTCTCCCTGGAGAGAGATACTATCATCTGGCTTCTCAGAGGCCTTCGATGTTGTCTCCAGCAATGCAGGAGGTGGAGCCACGGGAACGAGCTGGACTGCGGCTTTCCCCCATTTCTTTCTCTGATTAGGCTTTGGCGCTTTTGTTTTGGCCTGTGAGGGATGTGAAATGAGCAAGAACGTGCAGAAAAAATCAGAACCAAAGTGACATGTAACAGTTAGTGCGTGATAGTCCTGAAGTGACTCCAGTCCTGAAATAAAGCAGCTTAGGAGGTAAATGCATTTGCACGGAACGAGAAAAAAAAGACCTTCCCCTTAATCTAGACTAGCCTAAAACTGAAAGATGATAATCTTGCAATCGTTTTAGAACAAGTTACAGATTGGGTGTGACCTTTGGAGTTCATTGCCAGAAGTGAGATACTAGCGTTTGTTTTGGCATACTATGCAGGTAGGAGACATACCAAGGTGTTCCCGATGTCGGATAAAGGTTTCCTCCTCACACCAGCATCATCAGTTGAATCAACAGGCTTTTCACCAAATGCACTCTGAAGTAAACTTGCACCATGGGAGGCTAGATTAGATTCACCTGGTTCTTCATTGTTCCCATAGTTTAAGGCATCGCTTTTCTCTTGTTCTGAAGATTCCTCCAACTCTTTTGCAGATGCTGACTCTCTGTTTGTGCATTTAATGGATAGGCAGCCACACGATGGTCCACAGAGCGATCCAGTGCCACGACATTCACATCTCGATGTTTTGCACGATGAGGCTTTGCTGCACGAGCAGCAATCCTCCGTATTATCCTTTGAAGATGTTTTTTCGCCAGAATTCTCCATCTTTGAGCCATTTACTTCATTAACCTCTGGTTCTTGGGTATCAGAAGATGAATGGCGTCCAATTTTAGCTCTTCTCCTACGTGGCCTTTTTCCTGACTCTACCCAGTCGTCATCATCTTCATCTACTACCCACTCATCATCATCATCATCTGCTGCATTACTATCTGAAGAATCCGATTCTGATGTGTCCATGTCCTCGAACAGAAATATTGATGCCCTGTTATCCTACAGAAAAAATCGCCCAATGAATCAGTACAAGCCAATCAATGAGATGGAAAATCTCAACATCATGCAGGCACATAGAGCATCACCAAAGCATAAATTACCAGGTAACCTTCAGAAAAAAAAACTAATTCCCAACACTTTCATGGAAAATAGAGCAAGAAAAAGGCAGACATCTCCCACACCTGCTTGCGTAGGCCATATTTATTTGGTCCGATGTTTAGGCCAGAATCCCCTGAATCTGCTGCATTTGATTTGTGGTGCTTCTTCAAGAGGATGTCCTGCCAATTGTTTGCAAGTGAAGACCACTTTAAAAGCATAATCAAGACCAGAAAGCTAGCTATAAAAGCAACTAGGGACAATTACATCACAAAAAAAAAAAAAAACAAATACTCATATTATCAAAAGAACTAAGCACAAAAGAGCATTAGAGCATTGTTTTACACAAAGATTTAACAAAAAGCTAGATATAAAAGAAAATCAGATTCCCGAGAAAGCTTCATCTAATACCCTATCTAAAAACTTCAACTATCAGTTAGGATAGAAAGCAGAAGAAAAGATAGAGATGAACAAGTTAGGAGACTAGTTTGGTTGCAACAATAGATGAATGCTCTACCAAGATGCTTATGGTAGGCATTCTCGGAAGTTAGATAACAAACATATCAATATCCAGCTCCTTTATTAAAAGGAATCATTAAAGATACTATAGCAGCAATATCTTCCAAATTACCTAAACTGCAACTATAACACAGTTTCAGCAGGTAAACACCAAGTCTATCCACATTAGGCTCTAGCTACCGAATGCATATAATGCTCGAGTGTTCTCACCTGCGACTTTAACTGATGAACAAGTTCTGACTTCTGCATTTCCAACTGTCTGATCACAGTGCTTAGTTTGACAACTCTCTCCTTTAAATCTCTTATATATGAGTCCTTCTCTCTACAATTGACCTCTTTATCCCACAGTAGGCACCTTTAAAATTCAAGAAGAGTCAAGTTTAGCTACATCAAATGCATTGACATTAAACAATCTCAGAAGTTATATACATACTTTTCTACAAGACATGTATGACTTAGATAATTTTAAATCTACTATAAGATCACAACATAGTACTACACTGAATCCTCTGACCTATGTAGTACAATTATTGTTTAATACCTCGAAGAAGATGCCAAATTAAAGAGGTAGTTCATAAGATTCTTCGCTTCTGCCAGGGAACGAACTTGATTCCAACGTCCTCTGCCACCGAAGACCCTTTCACGTTCTTCTGCTTCTGAAAGGTGCGATGCCATGGACACTAAGGTGCTGGAAGAAGTCGCAAGCATGTTCTCAAGAGCGAAAATTCTTGAGTTTCTCGCACCAGGAGACATAGTAGGGGGACAGTCGCTACAAAGTACATCATCAAAAGATGTTTAGCATTGGTTAGCAAATCAACGCCAATACGAAGATGATGAACGAGCTACTGGCAAATTATCACAAACGGAATCTGCTGCCACTTCCCCCCACCTTAAGTTTGCTTGCTTATGCAATTCCGCTTCTTCCTTAAGTCTCGCAATCTCCTTTGCCATTTTTGCCCTCCTACAGAATGAATGGAACTTATTTAAAGGAAAAAAGGGAATACATTGGGCCACATGCATGCAAGTGACAATTTAAAAACACAAACTGATAAAGTCACCCATTATTACTAACTGGCCAAAATCCTAAAACAATAGTGGAGACTGCACTGGTATAAATGTGCATCTAGACCAAAATACGCTTGCGCATGAACACACACCCATAATTTAACGTGCTTAGAAAAACTCTTCAAGAATGATATTTACCAAGAAACAAGAAGCAACTGCCTGTCATAGATAGCAGAAAACTGAACTAAATCTACTATGGAATCAGTGAACGACATTAACAAAAAAAACGAAAAAAAAGAAGTCATAAAAACCATAATACACTACACAACTGAGACAGATTATTGTGAAGAAAAAGAAATTCTAGAACCCAAACAAACAACAAACTTTGCATGATCATGAAGATCAGAAACATATCTCAAGTGGATTTCCTTTGTGATAATTAAGAATTAAACTCACTCTTCCATATGACGCTCATATTCAGATCGTACTTCATGAACCCGTATGGTGACTTCTAGCTCATGCTCAATGGCCCGCATCAAAGGCTTTTCTCAACAAAATACAAGTTGTCAGAATCACATTAGAGAAGAAACTTGTATACGCACTAATACACTAGATATCTATGAGATTAAAGGTTCAATTGGGCTTCCAGGTGCCAAGAGCCTGTAGGCCCCTTGGGTAACATTAAGTTTCGTCATCACGCGATAAACAGGATGTGTACAGACACTAACATACTCTTGTGAAAGCTTAAAATACCTGAATTCCAGGACCACTGCCGCTCCCAGCACCTGCAGATCAAATGAAAATTAATTGACCAAGTGAAGACAAAAAGATGAGCACAATGCCTATGTTAATGTAAACTCCCTACCAGATGTCTCCCTAGAGGAAGCTTTTCGAGACTCCAGCAGTTCTTTCAGCCTTTTGGTAGCCATGGAAGCTTCTTCTGTCTTCCGCTGTAAGACCTGACATTGACCACGAACATAAAACAATAGAAAGAGGATGAGAATAGTAGACTCTTGAGTTAGAAAAATTCTAGTTATCTACCCAAGAAGAAACTAAATTACCATCTTCTGCTTTTGGTTCAAAGCCAATAACTTATGCATCTCATACTCATTCCTCCGTCCCTCTTTCTTCAGCTGTGAGACAAGAAACACACGTTCATAGGAGACCTAATATGGGTAGCAAACATGATTTCTAGGAACCAATAATAAAATGAACGTGACACTCTAATACAGGTGGTTACAAAGCCAAACATTAAAATTTTCGATGTCCAATCAGATTTTTAGTAAAACCATATGATATTGCAGTGTGCATCCTTTGCATTCAACTTTCTTCATAGGTATACAAAGAATCGTGACGCTGGGTCTTGCAAGTTCTAAACAACAAAACAAGATCCCATCCAAAAAAAACATACCAAGATTATTTATTTCTCCACCTTTGATTCAACTATGGTGACCTAGCATGGAATAGATATGTCAAACTTGAAAGTATAGAAGCAGAAAGGAGAAAAAAATTAAATCGCAATTACTGGTTGCATAGAAGTTATCACAGGTCGGGTCAGTGTTGTTATGGGATCGAGTGGTGACAAAGGTTACAAAAGAGTCGCAGGTGTTCTAAAAATCTTTTCTCAACTTGCCCATTTAAAATCTCAGGTTTCTCTAGTTTTAGTTGGTAATCTAAGACTCCATAGAATTTTACAAACATTGGATGAATTTTGTTTATGATAGTCTTAGTTCATTTTGTCTCTGTTCATAGTTTACACATTAAAAGCATTTGAAATTTACGGAAGCACTATAATAGGTAAAACAGTCAATATTCCTTATACATACATACATATATCTATATTATATATGTATATATAATTTAAACTGAATGGTCATACTTCATCAATTTTCTACACCAAAAATAAAAACAGAGAACTTAAGGTTAATGGACCTCATCCATTTATGACCTTCATGAACTTCTATTCAGATATATAGAAACTCGACAAAATGTCCAAAGAAAGAAGTGATCAATCCATTAGTGAGTCACGGAAGAGGTAGAATACAATAAAAGATCTGAGCCCATATCTCAAACCCTAGAAAATCTTCTTCTTCCGAGTAATAGATATAATAGCCTCTTCAATTTCTAATGAAAATATAATAGACGATACTTTTGTATTTTCTGTCAATTTCATAAAGAAGCAATCTCTCTCTCTCTCTCTCTCTCTCTCTCTCTCTCTCTCTCTCTCTCTCTCTCTCCACAAACCTGACAATTCTTGTCCAGAAAATGTTTGTAACAATATGCTATTTGTGAGCAAAAAGGATGCCACAACATATTTCCCTAATATATAGAAGGAAAACGAATTCCTTAAATGCGAATTGTCTCAAGAAAAGAGCAAGGCAGACAAAATGAGGTTTGCGACCAGGGGGACACTCTAGGTAAAGCCAACGCAAGACAAAATAAATCCTTAAGTCAGAAAATCCGAAATTTGAGTCAAAACTAACAACCAGTTAAGCATATACCAAGTTTAGCTTTGGAGATTAAACTGAACAAAAGGCATTATTAATTTATTAATTTTGCATATACCTGGAGAACCTCTTTCTCCCTTGATGCCTTCCACATTCGGAACTGTTCAGATTCTTGCTTTATCTTATGTTGTAATTGAACCTATAGAAAGCACAATTTCTCACATTGGTGCTGACATGAAATAAAAAAACGAATTCAAATACATCACTTTGTTCTAGTAAGTATTGGCACCTTCTGACTTTTTATTCTCTGAATCTCATCTTGCAATCGTTTGGCACCCTCATCGCTTTTTTGCTTTTGTCTTAAAAGTTGAGCTTGTGCATCTTGTTTCTTCTTCAACTCTAACACCTGGAGAACTTTCAAATTAGACTAGGATACAATCAAAATTAAATAGTAACTACAGTTCAAAGTTCACCTGCGCTTCGAGAACATTTAGTTTTTGAAGATATTCCTCCTTTAATCTTTGAGCATTGTCACCGGATGTAGATGAAATGTTTGCAAGGTTGCATCTCAGTTCTTCTATCTCTTTCTGCATAATTGTGAAGCTAATGATGTATCATTCTACATTTAATCGTAGTCTGTAGCATTCAGGATCGAAGACAAACCTGTAAAGACTTTTTCTCTTGTTCCATGTCCAAAAGTTTTCTCTCGTAGTGTTGTTTTAGAACTGAAGTGTCAACATTTGCAAAGCGCTTCATTTCAGCCTTCAAAATGTAAAACAAAGCGAAAGATGAACCCAATGATTGATGGGTGGAATAACCAACAAATCGTCACCAAGCAAATCATCAACTGACAAGATAGAGATTTCACACTAGTACACTAAGTGTTCTAGCAAGGCAACTATCCTCTGCAAGAAATATTGTTTAACGGTCACATTTGCCATGTACAAAGCTTTTTAGATGAACCTTTCAAATGCAAGATTGTCTTTTTCCTTACTCTGCCAGCTGAAAATAATTCTTGAACCATCTCCATTAAAAAAGTTCTACATTCCATCAAAGTTAAGGGGCTCAATGTTGAAAAAGGATCATAGAAAACAATTACGGTCATTAAGCAGTAAGATAAACAATTCTCAGCAAAAACAGAACACGGACGTATTGCTACTTTACAAGAGCAAACAAATTTTACCTCCTTCTGCTCAAGTTTTTTATCCAGCTCTTTAAGCTCCATCCCCAGTTTCTCTTGAAGTGAAGAGTGTTCTAACTCTTTCTCATCGACCTCAATTTCATCTGCATACATAAGAAAAGCAAAAAAAAATTATTAGTGCATATAGGTTGCACACCCCTATTTCAAAGAAAGCAGTAGGAGACGACCAAGAATAAACTACATTAGTCTCTATTGATGGTCATATACGAAATAGCAGATACTTGGAATCGGAAACGAAAATGATCAGCATATAATTAGCTCAGCCCACTGCATATTGACAGTAGCATTATTTTTAGCTTGAAATCCAGAAACCCATACAAAGCATATAAATCATACCAGCAAGGTCCACACTTTTAGCTTCGGAACCAGAAGAAAAATCATTTAAGCAAGAAGCTAATGTGTTGTTGGAGAGAGATCCATCATCGTCTGAATCAATGGAACCCAGAACATAACGTTTTGTGTGAAGTGAGCTTTGTAGGCGAAGCAATTCTGCTTCTAACTCTTGGATTTTGGACACATAAGATTTGACCAAATCACAATCCTAAACAACAGAGGCAACTTAGTTAAACCAATTACGAGGAAAAGACTCAAGACAATTAAAAAACAAAAGATATATTTGCAGACCTGATTTGAGTTACAATCAATTTCATCCCACGATTTGCCACTTCGAGCTGATTCAATTTTCATAATCAATTTGTCTTTTTCGACCTAACACATTCAAGGAGCATGAATCAGAAGATTCATGTGCAAAAACTCTGCAATAAATGCTCTGGCGTAGGAAAACCAGTCAGATGTACCTGTGCATCAACGGCACGCTGCATCAAATGCTCACAAGTGATACGACGCTCTTGCAACTCCCGTTGTAACTCCACATTGCTTGCTTCAAGCAAAGAAACTTTATGCTTGAGGATCTGTAAAAGCAATTTCAAGTCAAAATCTAAACCAGATTGTAAGGACTGTGAGAGAACTTAAAGATAGTATTCTACTTGAAGTTCTTCATATGGTCCACTAGCGTCACCACGATATAGTAGAAGCTCTGCTTGCAACTGCTCTACTTGGCTTCGCATCCTTTGCATTTGAGCTGCCATCGGATCACGATTGATCTAGAACCAAACAAGGAAGATAAGAATCACCATATAGAAAGTGCGTGATGATATAAATAAAGCATGTTAGGGCCATGAAGACATACCACAGCTTTGTTTTGAATGTTGCGAGCACGATTTGCGTACTTAAGAGTGTTCAATGTCTCCTCAGCATTTGTTTCAGCAGGACTCACACAAGCTACATATATAACCAGTGAAATGTCGACGGGATGAGGATTAAAAAGGTTAGAAATGAAATCCTAGTCTATGCCAAATCAGTAGCATACCTATCATCAATGTTTTGCTATTTCCTCCAAGGGAATCCTACATAGCCAAATTGCAAAATCAGTTGTCGAAAAAGGCTATGACCGTAAAAAATTAACTCGATAGGTAGGACAGGAAAAAAACATGAAGTGCTTCTAAGATTAAGGTTTCAGTGCTGCATTGCTCTTCAAAAGTCCTGTAACTCGTATACTTGCTCGTGTTGTTTTTCTTTGTCACTACACATGCTCATATATCTCTATGTTAACCCCACACAACCGGATTGTTGCTTTCTTCACAACAACTATATATATCACAAATGATGGTATTGGTAGTAAGAAGATTCTTTCTCATTTCAACATCTCTTCGGCTTTCAAGCAACCATTGCAAATGTAAAAGGCTATGTAATCGTCTACGAATCAAGGACTCATACTAACGCTGAAAACACAATAAGTTAAGGACTATACAAAGTTAGAATTTGACATGACTTAAAAAACTAAAGGAATGCAATACGTGCCTGTAACAAGCGTGTTAGCTTGCTATCACGATATGGAACATGGCCTCCATCTTTCCGCTTCTTCTCATCTCCTAGCGCGCTTATTACATTGCCAAGAGCCAACAAACCTTTGTTGATGTGAATGCCTAAACGATAGTCACTTAGAGTCAACAATCAAGAAAATATTCATTGGATGTGTCTACAAAAGAATACTAGAAGAATATTGAGGTGAAGATACACAAAAATTATCAAGCTCAAGCTACCCACCAGTCTTGATAACTACATTGCCTGCTGAAAGAAACTTTGATTCATTATACTACTCTATGTTTGAAGACATTTGAGTACTACCTTCTTTAAAGCGCATTCCATCTGCACCAGTTCGTTTTGCTCTTTCTGATCCAGCAAGGTCTACTAAATGAAGTTTCGCACACAAGATATCATCACCAAAGTCATCATCACTGGGAAAATGAGCCATCTTCTTTTGCTCCATAGTGATTGTGAAGATAGCATGTGATCGGCTGAAACATGTTTAAATATATTTTCAACTTTAAAACTTACAACATTGCAAAACGAAAGCAGAAATGACAATTATAAGACAAGGCCTGAAACAATTTGCCTCCATCTTAATTCAAAATATATTGAGTTTTGATCATATTATACTACTATAGCTTAGGAAGAGGCATGTTTCACATACACATAGGTTCGAAGAAATCAATCAATGTATTAAGAATATAAACATATTACCTCGACTGACTATTCATGTTGGTACTCGCAGTAGCACGAGACAAAGAACCCCGAGATAGATACGACGCCATCTCTTCCTTTGTCTTAACTTCTGCTTCAGTCACTCCAGCAAGTGTTATCCCACCATGTACTGTTTCTCTAATTTGTATTGGAACTCTAGCAGGTCCTACTGCCTTTGCTGCAGACACCCCTTCACCTTTACAAAGAGTCGAATTTTGATCGAGAAGATCAAAAACTTCTTCTTTGAAAATCTGCCGTAGCAAATAAACAAGAGACATCATTGTTTATAGGCACAAAGTCACTAGTTGATACTAGAAAATGCCATAATCAAATACTGACACATTTACCTCAATAAAGGAAACTCTGATAAGAAACTCAGTGGAATCTTTCATGGTCTTGACTTTTTTGAAAATTGTCTCCATCACCTTAGGTATGATTCCAGTGTTGCTCTCTTCTCCGTTATAGTTAGTTCCCATGGTGTATGTTTTGCCGGAACCAGTCTTCAGAATAACATAAGTTCAATTTCAGCATTCATATTGAATACGTATCCACAAGGAGACTAACAGGAATCTAGATGGAAAAACCTGGCCATATGCGAGGACGGTGGCATTGTAGCCTCTGAGGAGTGCATCCACAAGGGGAGCAACGCAGTCGTCAAAGATGGCTGAAGAAGGCGATCCCGTACTCCCATATACATGGTCGTATGTGAACGAATGCGACCCAATTTGCACCTAGCAGATAATCCGGCAAAAGGCACAAGTTTAGCAAGCTCGCCACTCCATAAAATAACTCGATCCCCACTCGCTAATTACATCAATGAAAGTACGCCACTTCGCTAATTACAAACCAAGCACATCCGGACCGAGAAATCACGCCCCCCTGCAGACGAACCTCGCAACTGGACGTACACATAAACGAGGACGAGGGCGGGGGTACCTGAGGCTCTCCTGGCACAACGGTGATGCAATCGGTGCAGCCGATGAGGAGCTCCGAGGTAATCAGCGGCCTGATGTTGACCGCGACCCTCACGCACTGAGACGAATCCTTCTCGTTCCCCAACCCGTTCGAAACCGGCCTAGCCTCGCAGTTATCCATACCACAAACCGAGACCGGTCGCAGACCCTAGAACTGCAGCAACAACAACAATAACAAAAAACGCTAAACGCTCGCTCGCGAGAGGAACGACCGGCGACCGGAAGGAATGGAAATCTGAAGCGCGCGCGGTCGACAGGCAGGCGGGCGGGCGTCACGCGACCAGAGCGAGGAGAAGAAGCAGACGACGACGAGCACGGATCCAAAACGCCATGGCGGAAGTTCTTGAGCTGACGAGATGCGATCGGATCTAGCCCGTGGACAGGAGTGAAGAAGACGATAGGGGCTAGAGATAGAGAGAGAGGGGGCAGAGGGGCTCTCTTTCTTTCTGATCGGGCGGATTTGAACGGCGGAAGAAGAGAGAGGATTTGAAATGGAGAGAGAGAGGGAGAGGGGAAATGATGCAGAGGGGGCGGAGGTGATGGAATTGAAAATGGGGAGGCGGTCGGATCCGGAATTCAAATGTTTGGGGGAAGGTCACGTGCCCGTCGCGTGAGCTCCGGGAGGCCCTACCAGCTTCCCCTCAGGCCGTTTGGTTCGACTTTGGGAAATTACATTTTGCAAGTTAAAAGATTCTTAATAGTTATGGTGGATGATTAATAAGGTTTGCCAAGGATTACCACTGCAAAAAATCCCACACACGTAACGCTCGTGTCTCGTTCTATCTCAAATTAACATTCGTGTTACAAAAAAATTCCAAATTGTATTTGTCACCGAACTAGTTTTCGTGCCATAAAAATTAATTTGGCTGCCACGATTGTGGATGGAGGAGGAGGAAGAGAGAAAAAAACATATATATAGACAAGTTTTTTTGCACTTGTCCACATCATGGGCACGTGTCGACTTGCGATTGCATTCCGAAAAAAAAAATTTGCTTGCCACGCCCCTCACGTAAATAATTAGTGGGCAAATTCTTAATCCACAAGTATCGAATTCATCGTGATCACTGATTATGTATACCATGTATGTGTGCTTATCACATTCTCCCGTGTTTTGTTTGGGTCCACGGACCAGTCTAGGCAAAATATACTCGCTAAATGGAGCTAGGTTGGAAAATACATGATATATATATATATATATATCAATGTGATATGAGCAATCAATTATATTATTCATATGAAGTGCTTGTTATGTTACATGGCACTCACATTTTAAAATCGCTCACTTTTAATTATATAATCTGTCACTGCCACATGTATAACAATTACATGAAGTAACTTTGAGTTAATTTGGTATTTTGATTTAATATATAGAAGATATCTCTTTTTTTTAATTATCCAAATAGTCGATATTTATAGAAGTCAATACAATTATCATTCACGTAGTGATATGCTGAGTTTTCTAGTCTCCTTTTGATTTGCTTTAAAATTTTCCCATGGTATATTTAATTCTTCCTACAATTGTTCAACAAAACTCATGGGAATTATATGAAAATTATAGAACACATAAAATAAATTACAATAAAGTCCCAACACTTGTTGCAATAATGTGCTTGAACTTTAAAACTTTAGTTTTGTACATTTAACTCATAAAATTTGTCAGTGTTCTCCACATTAGTCTTTTTCGTTAACTCCATGAGATTTTCTCGAACGGGTAAACTTATGTGGCCTTTTGTTATTAAATTCCTCTATACTTTTTGCACAAGTGGCGCTGATGTATTGACAAAAGGCGATACATCAAGAAAAATGACTTAAAATTAGGAAAAAAGGATTGAAGTTAACAAAAAGATAAAAAGAAGAAGACAAAGGTAATTGGACCGGTCAAAATATATCATAAACATATTTCTTTATCCATATTTGATAGGTTGGATTGTTATATGGATTTATTTTATTCAGTAAATGAGTCATGAATGAATTTAGATCCAACTCTATAGGTCGAATGGATTGAATATGAGTGTTAAATGGGTTCACAACTTGCTTAAATCTAATCCACCTCTATGACTCCCTCTTCACTTTTTTTCGATCTTGTGCTCGCTCCGTTTAGCAATATGGATCGAGTTGAGTATAGGTAACTAAATTTGTATTGCATGAAAATTGATCAATTTGGGTCGAACCATTTTCGACCTGTCTAACCCGTATGATAGGTCTCGAAACAGGCAAGGAGAGGCTGGCAAGGAGAGGCTACATGATGGAAGACTACACAAGAGCAGGGCGACAGGGATCGACGCTCACTTGCACGACTCCCTCACTTTGAGAATTTTCAGTTTATTTTTTGAAAAAAATTACGGTTTAATTTTCAACACAAAATGACATTGTGTTTGTGTTAAACGACGTGGCTTTGGGTTTACCACGTTCCCATCTGTAGAGAATGGACAATCGACAGCCAAATTCTGTATGCAAGAAACAATCTCTCGAGCTCACGTGTACTTCGTCTCCAAATCGACCGACTGCAAAATTTCGAGAGTAATAATCAGTTCGCGAACGGATATCTAACAAGTCGCGTCGCCTGAAAATGAATGCCAACCATAGGAGAGAGCTTAATGACCTCGGCCCTAACCGTAGCAACCGCATCGCAGGCTTGAAAAATGGCTGAATGTGATTTCCCTCCAGGCCATATAGCCTCGACTTTTCTCATTCTGCTGATTTGAGTCCACTAGTAGAATCACCTTAGCCCTGTCTCTATCCTTGCACTGTAAGCCAGCAAGGTGATGAACACATCAGTATATTTCTTTTTTGTGAAACGATGCAACTCCGGCAACGGTGCTGTTCCTTAGAATGAACAAAGATAACAGTTCACTATAGAAATTCGGAGAGCTGGCCAATAATTTGAGGAACGCATCCACATATTAATGTCTTGAGACATCTCAGTCTGAAGCCTGAAGCCAAGACATAGCTACCCGATCAAACATCTTGTCGGCCAACAAATATCATTTTCTCGAAACCAAACGAATAAATTTAAACGATGCCGAAGGAAAAAGCAGAGCCATGGAGGGATAGGATCTCAGATAGGTTCTTTGACAAACGAATATTTGTGCGACAACCCATTACCCATTTGAAGATGATTGTTGTGGTGCAGTAAATGAAGAAAGTAGATCATGTCGCAAAGCACATACATGATGATGAATCGACCACTGGTAACAGCATCGACCAGAACAGATCGTATCGAAAGCTCTGATGGTATTTACTAAAGCTGCAATTATCTTTAAGAACGTGCATCTTGTCGGACCAACTCCACTACGAGCATTTAGAAGATTCCCCCTGGTCAAGAAATTAGAATAATGTGCAAGTAGGAAGAAGTGGAGTAGCTGTTAATCACGCTAACAAAAGGCAATTTAAGTCTATACCTCCTCGCCAAACTGATGCGATGGTAGAGCAGACTCTGGTCAAGGAACAATGACCACAAGTATGCAAGCAGACAGTGGGAATGTCCACATAGTAAGACATTAAATTTAGAAAATCGTGATTGAAGCAATGACATTTACATAAATAGGCCCTTTTCAAAGAGAAAAATTTTCAGGAATTCTTTCCAGATACTTTGAATAAGCCTAAAAGAAGTACCTCGATGGAATCAAAACAACAGAAAATGTCTAGTTTTAATCCCTAAACTTCCTGTCTAGCAGCCCAAATCAAGCAGAAATTCGCAAGCTCTAAGAAAAGGAAGGTAACGTAATTAGCTTCAAATGGGAATCATCACCAAACATTTCACATTGACACCTCCTCACGAGAAAATAGTGCGAGCACGACATTGAAATTCAAGAACTAAGTCGAAAAGAGATTACACCAGACAAACATCTGCTTGAGATGAACTGAATCAATGCACATCCAAATAAACAGCGTACTTACCGAGCCGAGAGACATTGAGCTTCAAATCGCTCATTCACACATCAACCTGCCATCGACTTGTTGGCATGTTGTTGAATGAGGCAAGCGAGACAATGAAGAGGAGTGAGAAAATGGTGGGAAACAGGAGGAGATTTGCCGCCCTTCCTGATTTCTCACCTCGAGAGCTTGAGATTGGCGTTTGCAGTATGACTCACCATCCCTGCCGTCTGGAGTTTCAACTCGGAGAGAGAAGTCTGGAGTTTCAACTCGGAGAGAGAAGTCGGAAGGGATCTACAACTCAGGTCAAAATGCAAATCAAACGCAACCTAAGAATCAACGATTCGAATGGATAGAGTACAAGGCAACGACCCAGCTGGAGCAATGGAAGCTAACCAAAACAATGAAACGCCAAGAACGAGCAACAAACTAGGGTTTCGCAACTTTGGTACGTGAAAAAGGAGTTTCGGAGAGAGAGAGAGAGAGAGAGAGGTAGGTTGTCTTAAAGCATCGTAGGCTTAGACCATAATCAAAGCTGCAGGTCACCAAAAACCGCAGTCATTAGTTGACATGGAACTGCACTTTGCAAGACCGCAGCCAACATACGACGTCTGTCCATGCGGTTTTCAGAAGGTGCATGGAAAAGCCAAGTTTTGTCATAGCGTACGTTCATGCTTTGATAATACGGAACTTTCGCCAAAAAGTGGAACCAACTACATAGTCATATATATTGGCTAAATATTTAGCACTCATGTTAAAGCATACAATACAACAGATCAAAGCTTCAGGGAACGGAACAAGAGTTACAGGCGATATCACACATCCGTCAAGATAACCATTAACGGCGCATTCCGTTATTGTACACTTCCAAGGTTCTTGTAATAATAAGAGACTGAGATCCCTTTGAATCATCAGTTGCTCTCCAAGTTCAGCTTCAGAAAGGAAGCCTGCAAGAAAGTTACAAGCCAAATTATAAGCAAGAAGAGTAACTACTTATAATTGCAAAATGATCAAAATGATCGCGTAAAGCTTCGACGATGTGCGTCTTTTCATCCTAGGGGAAGAGATTATATCTGCCTTTCATGTTTTCTTAATTTAACTCGTGACTTGATTTATGGCATTGGATTGATGGGAAACAGATATAAATCTTGCGTGCAAAAGCACTGACTAGCTTGCAGTGAATTGAAGACGACTCACTTTTTTAACCATGGAATGCAATCTATGTGGGAGGCATTATACGTAGCTAGGGTTTGCTTGAGCCTGTCTCGTTGCTCGCACTATTTTAGCAGTTTGGTCCGCAAAGTATACATCTAATGCCCATTTTTCTAGAGCGCATGAGGACCCGACCGAATCACAAATCTCTATCTGCTAAATCTATTAATCCACCTCTCTTTCGATTCCTAACTTGAAGACTGGAGTAGTACTTCACCGTCGAGCATACTCCCGTTGTGAATTTGAACCGGTTAATTTCAGATATAAAAATCATATCTTACACATCAAATTAAGTGATGTCGATCAAAGATGAAGTACAAGGAGAGTAGCGTTGTACCCAAGTTTGAGGGATGTATCAGATCCATCATCTTCCAAAGGAGGGCCGGAATTGCAGCTGCACACATTGGTGGCGGACTCGGACGACACCCCTTCCTCTGGAACTGCGACATCTGGCTCCGTGACAATGTGCCGTTTTCCTTTGGTCAACATAGTCATCTGAAACATAACTGAGATTGATCAGCCAATTCCTTTTTCCGAATGTCTACAGTCGAATATATAAGGTAAAATAAAAAAACACAGAACGAGAGTGACTAACTTTCTGTTTTAATATCTTGTTTTCTTCAATCAACTCCGCTCCCTGCATTCATCAAAACGGCGAAATGATAGAAGTACTTTACAATAGTAAAAGCACCCAAACTGTCGGGAAGATCATGCATAGATATCAGCACCATGGAAGGGATTGCATCATGTTAATCTTTTCCTGCACTTGTATGACGTCTTGTACCAAAATAATTCAGTTTGTCATTTTGTTATGACAATTAAAGCATACTGAATAATTGATGGATATAACTTGTCGTACCAGAGCTATCACAGCGGTTGTTGGTTAGTCAATAAAAATAAAAATAACTTTGTGGCCAGTTACCTTCTTGAAAATATAAGGATTTGCCAAATATTCTGGTAAGCCTGGCAATGTCATGCATGCTGATCTATTGTTGAAATTTTATTAGCCCCGTACTTTGACATAAGCATCTTCATCAGACACATTCATTTTACAAAGACCAGCGTCCTAAACTAAGTTCATACACATGGCCTCGAAATCAATTCTTCAAAATAATTCCTTCATCTGTATTTCATCTATATATACTGAGTAAAATGCTAGATACAGCTTTAACAAGTAGCAGCTCAAAATCACTTGATGCACAAACTGACCTTTTTCTCTAAATCAGTGATCTCGGTCCTAATTTGTTCATCCTGTAAAAAAATAGATAATACAACTCCAGGTATCATCACGAGATCAATATGCGTATGTTACATTAAACTCAATGGAGTGAAAAAGAGACAATGATATCGCAAAACCTTAGTCACCAGCACATGGCTAAGTCCAGCTTCAAGCATTTTCTCCAATTGCTGCAGCTCCTCTATATTCAGTCCTTGAAGATCCTCACCCCTCAATTGCCTGTTACAATGCAGGAGCCAAAGATCCACAATTGGAACGCAAACAAGTATCAAGACAAGTTCCTCGTGTAGGCCAATTGAAAAAATGCATACCTGAGTCGATGGCTCTTTTCTGCCACTTCCTTGCTTAACCTCATGTTATTGCTATGCTCCAGCTATAAAATGAACACGATTTTAACCAAAGTGACATTTTATGATGGTTAACTCAGAAAATGTCAATACAATTGCTTGGACTTCATAGGTAAATTACAAGACACCATTCTATTTATGTGTTTTGTAGAGCATCTTCACAAAAAAGAACTGTCAAGTTCATAACACATCATTCCCAGTAGTATTACAGTAACATCATACACCTCTCGGTAGTCAATCAGAAAATAGAAATTGCGAGCTCAGATCTTAGAGAGATTACCTGCAGCTCAAGAGAAGGTTGATCCATATTCTCAAGATTATTGTGGTGGAGAGTGTACCTCTCAAGAGTGTCCTTCATGCTTTAGACATACATGGGAATAATAGGCACGTCACTCCTTTAGTCATAATCAACACTAGGTCTACACATATGTAACAAACATTTCCAGAAAGAATAGCATGTCATCACATGCTGAGAAGATTAATATCTAGTTTCTTTGAACCTCCAAGTAACTACTTCAGGAAACGACATACATTCAAACTCAAGCACAATTAGTCACAAAACTATATGTATTTTAAACCAACAATACACAGTCATTCCAAACTTTGAAGGGCCTCCTTCACGCACTTATCCTATCAATGAATGCTAAGTTTGCAAAAGACCGATCAGCACAACTATGACAGTATGTGATCTGGTAGATTTTAAGTTTGTATTTAGTCTATTGGGTCAAATTCAAGACTCAAGCAAAGTTTGCCACACCACTCAATAAAGAGATTTTGTAAACTAGTCAGAGCATACTACTCATTATTCTATCCTATTTGGACGAGGACTCACTCAAACTGGACAAGCTCAACTTGGGACATAAATCAGAACAAATAGAAAAGAACATGGCCGTACATAGGACTTGTGTCTGGTTGAAGTTAACAACAAATCTCCACAATATGGAAAAGTTTCTCCACAAAAAAAGAGCTAAAAAATGAGTATCATGGATCCTCTGTGGGATTTTAATCCTTTGAGCAAAAGGTGTCTGGTCATTTAACTTAGGGTTCTTTTGGAAACTAAGTGTGCTGATGGGCAATGCTTTGGTCAAGATTGGCTCTATAGAGGTCTTTCTCAAACACACCATACAATTGTAATTTACTAACGTGCAGACCTCATCTACGACTGAGCATAAATGAAACTAATTGTAACGAGCAACTAATCATCTGCCACACTATGCGAGAATTCTCAGAGTGAAAAGTATTCACCAATACTTTGGGTGCGGTCACTAGTAAGATATGCGGAAGTGAAACATGGTTTACGATCAACTAAAACTTCTCACATCTGCTTGTGGACCAGGAGCATAATTCATATTTAATATTCACAGGTATGTAGAATTAGCACAATCAGAATTATGGTGGAGCAATCACAATTTGCATTCACTGCGTTCAATAAAACTCATATTTATCCTTTCGACAAAGTTAAGCTGTTGGAAAAATTGGTAGTGGAGAGCCGTCTGGTGTTAAACTGATTACTTAATACACAGGTGATCCAAGCTGTAAGCCATTAACTCATAGCTTAAGCTGTTGAAACTCGTGAACCTCAAAAAAATGTATATCAGCAACCAAGAATCGGTTGCATGCATAACAGCATGATTGCAACGATTGTAAAAGACTAATAAAGACAAAATATTTGAGAAACAACTCTGATCAATCATATCAACCTACTTAAGAAACGCTATACACATCAATTCTCAAGGACCAATTACTCTACAGTGTGACACCTCTTGACTAATGTTAGTAGTCTATCAACATAACTGTGATCGTGTGCATACACCAAGGTCTTCTCAGAGCAGCAATCCTATAGCAGTAGTTCAAATAGACTCCAGATTCATGACAAGCAACCAATCTTCATGTTAAGCACCCACAATGTCGAATGAAGATAACTGTATCTTAAATTAGTTAGACAGAGATCACACAGCTATGACAAAGCTCGTAAGTCGAAATATACAAATATGGGTTGCTACTAGATCTGGCATTGGGAATATCATGGCTGAGATCATTCTTTCATCTATCGCTGAGGAGGTGTTATGATTTTTATGCGAAGTTTTTCCCATGGTCATTCTTTAATTCTTCCTTCCACCTATGCTGGACAAAAACAAACACGAGTTCCCACGACAAGTATACCTAAGCAAATTTTTTGGTCGAAACTTAAGCAAAATCACTATCAATGTAAGTCTATCTTTTTATCCTAATTATATCAGATGACATACCAGCATGTAACACTCAAATTTGAAAACAGCCCCGATTTTCAGTCCATAAGCATGAGAATTGTGGCTAATTTTCTTGATTTGCATTTTCCTTTCTTGGCAAGCCATTAGGATGATGTTCCTTCAAATTGATCTTATATCTATTGGAGACTGTGTGTCTTCATATTCCAATGAGACAACTCTCTTGACAGTGTATGCCCGCTCAACTGATGATTCTATTGTTTTACATCATCGATACAGCTAGTACATCCCTTGAACGCTAATGTATGTGATCAGGTAAGCCAAGTAAAGAGAGATCCATAAGTTGATTGATGATTTCTTGAGAAATGTGACCATTAGAAGTACCTGTCATTTATTATTGGTTCCATCACTTTCGCTGCATAGTTGAGAGAGATTCCTGAGTGTACTTTGGCAGCAAAGTTCACTCACCAGGCGAACAAAGTCCTTTCATCTAGAGCTGTGAAAATTGGCGGTCAACGCAACTTCCACCACCAAGTAACGTTTTTATAAACTCCTTGCTTTTACGATGATTGAAATGTGATAATACTAATTAGATTCATCCTAAATGAAACGGCACTGACTTTCATTATGCCGTGCCCATCTCTATGCAGGTCTGCATATGTACATTTTGTTACCTCCAGTTCAACACTCTAAGATTTCACAAATTACAATCTTATTCTCGACAAGCAGAGCTAATTCAGGCTGTCAATTGAGGTCAATGACAAGTAAATTCACGGAACAACATCGAAGCAATTAGACTGCTGCGTACTATCTTGACTTGAGCTATCTTCTTAAGGATATGCTTCTATCAACTTTTCTGAGCTAGTTCACTCACACCAAAGAGGGGGATCACACAACTTCTTTCTGCTAGTCCTAACTTTAATCGCACAAACCGTAATGAGCACCTCCAGATTGTTGCCCGTACTAGTGTTATCTCCAGTCCTACAATGTGCAAGGAAGTTTCACTAAATATTACGTTATATTAATGATTTATTAAATCTTACATTATATTGATGATATCCTGAAGTCACATTTGAAGGGAATTGAAGATAGGCAGTATCCTTATTCGGAAAAATAGTCTTGATTCACAGGGATTCATGCATTAGAGGCCACATTGCTACTTGCCATTTGTTTATTACAGTTGAAGCCCGATTTGGGAGTCACAAAGTTGGCTGGAGCTTTAATCGGAAATTTGACCTGCACAATTGATTCCCGGTTACGGCATCTGGATTTTGTTCTCAGATTGGTCTTCCGATACTTAAGTTAGTTTTTGTAGGAGAGAGATAAAGCTTCTAGAGCCCTGAGGAATATGAAATGGCCAGCCTCTACATGTGTGTTCAGATCACTGTTTATAGGTACCTCTTTTAGTGGGTTACTAGGTGATACTTAATAGGGAGTATCTTTAGATGACAAGTGGATAAGTGGCGTGCGCATTACCCTTAGGGATCAATGCATGTCCAGTCTCTCAGATAGTGATCGCACCGTTATCTCCTTTACCAATGAGGGGATTCCAACATAGTGTCTCGTCAAGTGTTTCTTGCCGAGCAACTCGGATCCCAAGATTATGCTTTTGGGGGTCTACCGGTCCAGCCATATTTGTTTATCCGTCGGTATCAATGGAACACATGCCGGGAGCCAATTAGCCGGTCAAAAGCACCACTATCAATTACTTTTGCTTTAAGACAACAATAGTTGATTTATTTATTGATTTTGGAGTAAATGTTTGTTTTTGCCTTTCAAATATATAAGGCAACTTTGCTTCCCCTTAAAGTTTTAATGTATCGGCCAAACTTTAAAAGATCATGAAAATTTTTCAAGAAAACTTATAAGTCGATATATGAATGTAGTGAAAGTTTCTAGTGTTTTGCATTAAAAAAAATCAAAATTTGTGAACCTTATTGTTTTAAAGAAAAAAAATTTAAATAGAAGTCAATGTAGACACATATATTTCACACTTTATGAAATAATCATGTAGCACATCTAAATCCCATGACTAATTTAAGTTATTAAATACCTCAATTTAGCTGATAAATTTATTTTTTAACAGTAGATATTATGGATTCAAATCCTAGTTCGAAATTCAAATGGTCGGTTTTCAAAGACGAAGAAGAAGGGCAAAACTTCTATTCGTTTATAGGTCATATCTTAATTTTATAACATAAGGAGTGTGGCATCTTCAGTTATATTCTATAGTGTCTTAGCAGAAGGTACATTTTATGTATTCGCAAAATTTATATTATAATTTTCATGTTTCACTTCAAAGATGCAAACACATTTAATCACAAATTTTGTGGCTATATTGATGTCCTTTGGTTGTACAATGTCAACCTTTTTAAATCCAACTTTGAATCCAAAGATTCTCCTAACATAAATTATCGCTCTTTCTTCAAGTTTAAGTTATAGGAGTATTTTATCTTTGCAAAAAAGGTATACCGTGCAAATATTACCTTTGTACCACTGTTTGGTATCTAGACATTTTTGAATACTTAGAGCAGAAGGTCCAAGATTGGCGTTCTTTCTCTTCTGCCTAAATTACCCTTTTTTCTTTTATCGTTTTGCATGTTTGCTAGTGAAGAAATTGAAGGATTTCTTGGAAACTCTACAAGGTTCATTCTCTTTTTTCCTTCTCAAATGCTCAAAACCTCATCCTACACGAACCATTGAGAATTCTGCTATTTAAAGAGTAGAAACTATTGAAGAAAGACCAAGAAATTTTGGCCCATCTTTCTTCCTCATCTCCTTTCTCCTTCTCGTGAAATCTCTCCGTTTTTCCTACTACCTATCTAGTTTTACCTTTCATTCCTGCACACGCTTCCCCTTTGGCTATTTAAACTTTCCAATATGTTCTCACGAGCATAGACTAAGATGTGACTTATAATTCAAGCGTATGAATAAATAAATAAATGGGAGGCAAATAGTTAGATGGATACATGATTTAATACTTAAATGCTTCAGCCAGTAGAGGTTGGAAGGAGTTCCAAAGAAGTTGGATTAAGTTCCTTACTCTACAGGACAAAAGTGGGAAAAGAATTAACGGGAACGATCTTAAGGCATTTGAGAGTACTAGAAAGTGCTTTTACCTCTTCATGAATGAAAAAGCTTTCCAACTATTTTATCAAGCACATAGATCATTCTAGTTGGTGAATAATCATACAAATTTCGAATGACTATGCCCAATATTCGGTGTATCCAGTTGGCTGTTTATAGAGTAAGGGACTTATCTAGATCATTTTGTTCTCATAAATGTTATGTAAGTTAAATATTATTTAGGCATTGCCTATTAGATCTCCTAATGTGATATTTAGACTTCAATTCTGCTAGACTTTTCCAACAAATTGTATCAAAGCTGGATCGTTCCAGAAGATTCAAAAGCAAGATTGATTCTAAGATTAGTTCATAAGAAAAGGGTTAACAAAGATCTAGCACCAAACGTTGCTGAACTAGAAGTGGTAGGCGAGATATCATTAAGTTTGTTGCTAGTCAGGACTAAAATTGGCTTTTGTTCACCCTGAGTTTGTCGGAAGTCGATGTTCTCAAGAGGTCACAAGGGAAACAAGAAGATAAGTGCAGCAAGAAGGACAAGAAAATTGAAGATTCCATTGAGAAGCTATTTGTTGGTTGAACATAAACCAGCTTGCTGAAGCCGATTGAGTTTGAGGACAAAATGAAAGACCCTTGAGACAACCTACAAACTCAATTTGCCCAGACATACTGGGATATTTGTCTTCATATGGTTTAAAAGATGTCGGGTCCGCAGTTAGTGACCGGTAAAATTAAATTTAAAGGGGCGTGCACAAAAGAAAACTTGATTACTTAAGCATATAACAGAGACCGTGTCGATTCATTGCACTTTTTCTTGGATGACTGTATGCATATGATGAGAGATATATATCCTATGTAAGCAGTATGAGTTTTTTATGCGCGCCGGTGTGTGAATATATGGCACTAGATCACTTGACATACGTGTACTTCTTTTGCTACAAGAGAGAGTATATTATTAACATGTATAGTAACCATGTGTAAAGCTTCGATTGGCGAATTAAACAAAGCAAACAACCTTGTGTTGGATGCCATAGTTTACCAGCTATTTAAATAGTTTTACCATACTTCTGTTAAAACTGTAGTAGTCCAAACACTATCCAGTAAAAATAGGTCCCAAGTCATTTAGAGTCTCGAGTAGATGGATTTTTTATAGACCATCAAGAGTTGGATTGGCATTCATAAGAAGTTGGACTACAGTTCTTAGAACTGAATAGCAGTTTCAAAGTTTTAGGGTGATGGAGATCAGTGGCTTTATGCTCCCTTTGTGAACCAAAGAGTTCGGTTTCTATTTCTCCAACACTAACCTCATTTGTTTCTGTGTTTTTCCTTCTTTTTGGGTATATATTAAGCCCACTATAGGTGGTCCTTCTATGCTTGGAAATCCCCAACATTTAAGTTTTCAATATTTGCTCATTTGAAATATCATTTTAATACACAAGTTGATTTAGCATTCGTGACACCTGTGCCTTGGATATCGAGAAGCTAAAGGGAAGGACAACTAGGTGGTGATGGTCAAGTACACAGCAATACGCCCAAAGGGGACAAGCTAAAGCTTTGTTGTAGGGTCTTCACAGGAATCTTTTCAAGGTTACATACCAGAGGATATCACTGAAGAAAGGACTGCCCTCGGCGCCTGTGGGACTTTCCCGATCATCAGTGGCACGTCATCGGTGAGGTCATGGCTAAGCTTAGCATTGGCAATTTTCGACACGATCAATTTACATGACACGTACTTAAGTGTGTTCATATCAAGCTTAAACAAGTTTTGACATAAACAGGATGAACAATTTAAACCCGTTTATAGAAGAATATCGTACATGTCTTGTGTGAGTTGACCTTTTCAACAACAACTGTTTAAATCCGTTTAGACACGTTTGAAAACATATTTAGAAGTTTATATGTGGGTGCTCATGTCTCGAACATGTCAAACGTGTCGGGTAACTCGCTTAATAAACGTGTAATGTTGTGATATTAGAGTCATGCCATGATTGCTTAACGTGTCATATTTAAGTCAAATGTAAACTCGAGACCAGACAATGATGACCCAACATAAACACACGAATTGCCACACTGGATAAGCTCTTGTTAACAAGAAACATCTAATGCACACTCCTGGCTAATTTTATGCAGACCCTATAGACAACTTTAATCAATGATGCTAACATGGTCAATATTACCATCCATGACCTCACTATATAGGCCAGCAAGAGCAACAGCAATATTGACAGGGCCTTAAATAGGCCATGATTACTAAGTTGAGATTTCTCTCTGTCCTTTTGTCAAGCTTTCCTCTCCGAAGTAAGTTCATCTCTGAAAGTGAGATAGAGAAAGAAGGAAAAACCTTTTCTTTTATATACACACGCACCTCTAGGTGACTGGAGCTAGATCTTTTCTCTTTGTCAGTGGGTATATTCTTACTGTGTGTGTATGCCCCCACATAAGATACCATGTGGCTGTGGTTTTTCATGACCTAGAAACCTCGTCTCCTCATGTCTCAAAAGCGATCTATGAAATCATTCGGTCCGATGAAATGATAACTCAAAGTCCTCCAAAACTTTTCAGTCTATACATACGTGTACACTCGCTTAAATGGTCGTATGTATGGACGTATGTATCAGCGACGCACATCATGGGAGGATTTTAGATACATTCTTACACCACCAGATCGAAGGGAAAGATCCTTCCAGAGTAAGAGATAATGTACTCTTCAACGGTTTCCTGGGTTTATATACTGAAGACTGGTTTAGTAACGAGCGGCTGGAATCAATGGCAACCCTAATTTAAGCTCGTGTAGGTCGATGAAGAAGAAGAAGAAAAAGAAGGCAAAGGCCAGAAAACCAGAATACCAAAGTGGGAAACTTTGGCGACTCAGTAAGAGAGAGATGAATTTTTCGGAAAAAAAGAAATCATTAGAATCTTCACCCTAGAGATTTATCAGCATTAGATGGACAAGTAAGTAAGACAAGATTGCATGCTCGAACGGCATCATTCCTTTGATGAGATGCGAAATAGTTAAAATACATAGATTTGAGGTACATATTTTATTAGCCGCTATATAATAGGAGGTGTGAGAGGGACGCATGCATCAGCGCCGCTGGCACTTCAGCCCGAGAGGAGATTTTAAGCTCTTTGATTCTTTCGGTTTCCATAGGACTCATGATTTGCCTCCAGATTTCATGGTCATAATGATTCATGAGCGTCCTCTCTCTCTCTCTCTCTCTCTCTCTCTCTCTCTCTCTCTCTCTCTCAAGCACACACGCACAGGGTACACTTAGACAAACGAAGAAAGACACACAAACACTCAACCTCCGATGGTCAAAATGTCAAGTGAAGAAGTCAAAATAGAAAGAGAAACCAGAAGGAACGACAAAGAATAGAGGGGGAAGAAAAGACAGCAACCCAGATCACATACCTGGAGCTGGAGTACTCGAAGAGCTTGCCGGTGGCCGAGAAGATGACGACAGCCACCTCGGCGTCGCACAGGACCGATAGCTCCCCGGCTTTCTTGAAAAGCCCTCGCCTCCTCTTAGAAAACGTCACCTGCCTCGCCGTCACATTGTCTATCTTCTTGATCTTGATCTTCTCTCTCGCCATATTCCTTGTACTCCTCCTCCTTCACTGTGAACCCAAGAGAGAGAAAACAAAGAAGGAAACTTTATCAAGAACCAGACCATGAAAACCACACATTGTCTCAGCGTACACTGAACATGAATAGGAAAATTGTACAGAATAGTAATGGCAAGTGGGGTTCGATTTTGTGTGGAGGAGATCTTGCAGAAGCACAAACCCTAGACCAAAAAGAGAAGGAACCAGAAAAGGAAAACCAGATCCATTTCCAAAAACAACCCAGAAAACCCACCAAACAGTGACCAACCTCAAAAGAGCAAGCAAAACCAAACCGCAAGACGAGCAAAAAACTTCGACCAAACAAAAAACCAAAGACGAGGAAAAATTGGTGGGTTCTTTCCCTTGTTTGGCTCATTTGTTACCTTGCTTGCAGAGGCGGGCTCAGGTGATGGCCGATCAAAGGCCACGCAGAGACACCAATCCGAGAAAGAATTGAGAGGAGAGAGAGAGAGCGAGAGGGGAGGGAGGGGGGGGGGGGGGGACAGGTTAGAAAAAGAAAGGAAGAGGAAAGGATGGGGCTTCCCTTTATAGCTAAACAGGACTTCGTTTTATTATCACCAGTTTTTCAACATTTTGCCTAAAAAAGCAAGGAAATATCTGCGCCGTTGGAGGCTTCAAGACGATATATAGAATGTGTATCAAGCCTCTCCTACTACCTCCTCCTACACCAGGGCAAGTCACTTTCTGCTCTCTCTCTCTCTCTCTCTCTCTCCTTCCTTCTGGTTCCCATTTTATTTTAATGTTTCTTTTCTTGTAAACCCCCCCGAAAAAGAAAGGAAATATAAACTGTTCCTGACAGTGATGGCGGGGTTAAGGTTTATACTGATTATCAAAATTTTGAATAAGGTTTCATGTTTCGTTTCTTTTTATGTACAGGAGTTCGGGATTCCGTACGGGTGGAGCCATACCTCCCATCACCTCACAAAAGCACGATGATTACCGCTTCTCCCTCTCTCTCTATCTAGCTTGTGATATTACTACCGATGTTATTGGCCTACCCCAGCTCCCCAGGGGCCTTCTCCCTGTCAATTCATCGCGGTATTTCTGAGCCTGAGCGTGAGATCTTACATTAGATTCTTTATAAGCAGCATTCATCCCTACACTGCCCTAAGTGTTATTAGATGTGCAATCAATGAATATCTTGAATTTTTTCGTACCAAGCCCGCGTCAGCATGTGCAGTAGGTTACCACATGGAATGGCGAAGTGATGCCATTATATTACCGATAGTGCTCCATGATGAGAATAACAGTTTCGATATAATTTTAGGAGATCAAGTTATCTTTGAAATTTCACCTTAATGTGATAAATCGCAATCGATCGAAGGAAAGTATCGCTTTGATAGCTCTCTCAAAAGTAGTTCCATATGAGATTATTTTCTAAAATTACCGCTAGTTGGGATAATTTTACAAACTAGTTTTCGTTCATAAAAATATCAAGTTTTGTCCTGTGGACCACGTACTTACCGAGATTTCTGTAGATAAGAATGCCCTCCCAGGACCTAGTTTGTCTAAGTCTTATTGGTTCATATCAATGTAAACATTGTTTGGGTTTAATAAATTTTCTTCTTCAAGTAATTTCAGCGTCCGTAGTTTTTCTTTTCAGTGCGGTACATCTTCATCTACCAATCTCTGCCACAAGTACTTCACTTTAGCCATGAGCCCCAGAACCAAAATACTGGAAACTCTGAAAACCCAGATTTAGGAGGAAAGCAAGTCTCGACGAAGTTCAATAACTATAGCCAACTAGAAGTTTTCATGGAGTCTCTTCAAGGTAAACCCTTTATTTAGGTCATTGTCGATGCTTGAACTTAAAGTATGTCGAGCATCTTGCCTCTTGGGTGCTGATTATATGATGTTTCATTTGAGGGGTTGGAGCAAAAGAAGAAATTTCACAGAGCATCATGCCTAAAGTTGCTCGCGAAAGATTTCACGAAATTTGACAAGCGCAAACAGAGAGATGATGGAAAAAGAAATGAGCGCGAGTGATGTACTTTGTGTTAGCTGTGCGACATAGATGATAGGAATAGGTGAAGTCCAAGTACTTGTTAATAGAGCTCATCTAATTCCTAATTTTAGTGCTGATTTGTTTGTTTGAAAAAAGTAGGTCATATAGGTTTAAGGGTTAATATCACAAAAAACTCCAAACTTATACAACTGTAACAAATTTACTTCGAACTAATTTTTTAACCATAAAAAATCCAAAACTTGTATACTTGTGACAAATTTACCCTTCGTTAAATTGAATTAATATTACGAAAAATCATAAATTGGTAAACCCGCGACATACGGAGGGGTAAAACCCTAAACTGGTACACCTATCAACTGCCACGTGTCATCCAACTTAGGAATTTGATAGAAAAATTTAACGAAAGTTAATGAACGGTAAATTTATCACAGGTGTACCAGTTTAGAGTTGTTGAAGTCAAAAAATTAGTTTAGGGTAAATTTACCACAAGTGTATCAGTTTGGGGTTTTTCATAGTATTAACCCTAGGTTTAATAATAATCTGAAGTAACGGTCTACGTTTAACAAGTTTATTTAATTTTTAGCATCTAAATTGGGTAGCTGGTGGATATTAACTTGGTGAGATTTAATGATAGATCCTATAAATCTTTGATGCAGCCCGGAATGACAAAAGGACGGAATCCCTTTAATCCAAATTGCAGATGATTGCATAATTCGAGCGTCAGAGTCTTGATCTTCCATCATCAACCAACGGGTGAAAATCTCTGGGTGGAAGTGGACCTGACGAGAGCCAGAGAGTTTCTCTTCGAAAGCGAAACGAGCTTGTTAATGCGCGCATCTGTTTTCCCTTCTTTTTATACGAGACAAAGCGCGGGTGAGTGCGTGCGAAGAACAATAGTGTTTTCCATTCGAATTAGCTAAGACATTCCACATCATAACCATGTGACATGATCAATGGGTACGGTTGGTCTGAACTATGTCAGTGTGCTACGGCAGTCCGAGTAGTATTAGTCTGTTTTTGTCGCAAATATATATACACACAAACACGCTAGTATATATAATAGTGAAAGCTTAACTTCATTTCGTATGTGCTGCTAAATGTATATATAGGCTTTTAATGTGCATCCTAAAGAAGAAAATTTGTTGGCTAATCTCTGAACTTGCATGAAATGATCAAGGAGCCCCATGAAAAAATAATAGGTTCAATCAATTTGAAAACATATTCATAATAAGGTTGACTAAGAAGAAACTAACCAGCCATAAATAGCCCGAAATCATAACAAAAATCAGACAAATTATAAAAGTAGTACACAATCATGCTAGCTATATATAAATCCAAACATTTTGATAATATTATTTTCACGTATTTAGAAGATAAATCCCATCAATTTTGTATATTATACTTTCGATTTACGCAGAACTTACACTGCCATTAACATAAGACGTGTGTTGATCTTCCTCATACTTTATTTATTGCTCAATACATTATGATCTCCATTTTTTTTTCAAGTACGATCTCCATTTTCAGAAGGTACTAAAATCTAAATCTACCACATGCCCTTTAATGGAATTATATTTTGCACTCAAATGCTTTTATTAAATTTGTTTAACAAAGTAGATATCAGTCTTTGGAGTTCATAGCATAGGAGACCGGTTACAAATTACGAATGATGATTTTCTTAATACGTCAAGGCGAATTATGCATAATGCATCCATAACATAAATGTTACACTCTTATCAATTAACATATAGTATTTTGCACACATCACGAAGTTACGAAAACTTATAAACTTTATTTATGCAAATTTAATGTTAATCACCGCATAATGATCGATGGGAATAAAACCAACGACCAGTGTGCAAAAGACCTGCACCAACCTAGCTAGTTAAAAAAGAAAATTTTGTGTCTTTTTCTAACTAAAGAATATTATGTTAATGAGTGTCTAAGGGCATAGCTCACGCAATCAATTAAGGGCATCTAGTTTTCAATGCATTAACGGATCTCGTGTCGTGCGTGTTTTAATAAATTAATTATCACAAATTAAGTATGCTCAGTATGTGCCCAAGCGCGCACTTATTAACAATACCCAAAAGACAAAAGTAAAGTGCTTTATCAGGGCTTGTGCTGATGCAAAAGCTTTCGTCTCCACGTGCAAATGCAGCACAAAGAGGAAGCATATACTGCCTTTCAATTCATTGGGGGGTCTTACGTATGTGTGTAAAATCATTTCACAAAGGTTTTAATCATTACCAACATGATCCGGAATTCCAGGCATCACTTCCCAGCTTTTTTTTTCCCTGGGTAGAACGCTAGAAGAAGCACTTTCTATTAGGATTTAGGGTAGAATGCAAAAGCTTCAAATTTGCTACTTGTCAGACGATTGAAACTATAAGGGTGTGAGCTGCTTTGGGCAGAGAAGGCAAGCTATACATAAATGTCGCAATAAATCACGTTCACCAACCATTGGCAAAGAAAATAGGAGAACAGAAAAACGTGTGGAAAAACATTTAGATTTTTCTATTAATTTCAATAAATAGTCGAGAATCTTAAAATACCTGCCAATCTACAGCCCCCCATAGTCGTACCACACACAACGAGTAATTACTGGAAGTATACAAGTCTAGCTTAAGATAATGCACATATATGGTGATTTGAACCCATATCTTGAGCGAAATGAGAAAACGCAATTATTACTTGAGCAACCGATGGGATCCTTTTAAAAGAATCTTTTAAATTGAATATTACTTCTCAGCTACGTATCCAAGAAAAAGTGCACCAAAAAATGCACACGTACTTGAATAACAAGAAATAGGCACATGAAGTAGTAAAACACAATTCGGATGCCGCACTAAATAGTCCATGTACGAGGGTTGTCTATCTCAAGATGTACTTGACTACTGGTTTTTACATGCTTACGGGCTGCCGAACAATTACTTCACTGGTTGCAATCTGCACATCGAACGAAAGGAAGTCGTCTAGGCATTTGCCGAGACCTTCCGATACTAAAGTCAATATACATTCTTCCGAGAATCAAAGAGAGAAGGAGAGTTAATGGGTTTTATAAAAGGATAGAACATGCCCCATTCAAGATACATACCTAACTATGTAGGGATGCAATGAACTTGGTTGATGGGTCTCGCAATGGGCTTACTGTTCGTAGAGCGTCACATGTCTCGAGTGAATCCACCTTTATAGCCCTATTCACACATTAAAAGCCTGTATAAAGTTTTTTTTTTTTTGTGTAACCGAGGATCCGCCACCATTTCTCGGGGACGAGCCCGCACAGGTAATCGGGGCTCCTATACCTCGGGGGAGATTAGCCCAGCAACCCACCGCCAGGACCCCCCACTTAAATTACGGAACCGAGCGAGGATTCGAACCCAGAACCTCTTTGAGGGAAGGAAAGCGCCCACCAACTCGGCCATGCGCAGGTGGGTAAAGCCTGTATAAAGTTTGGCCACATCCAAACCCTGAAAAAATTGCTTGTAGTAATCATTTAAGAAAGGGATTTTTTCGGATGAGTTAGGAGTACGACACA